AAAAAAAAAAAAAAAAAAGAAAAAAGAAAAAGAAAGTGATTGGGGAGAGGTTAAGTAAGTGGCCCAAGGTCACTCAGTAAATAACAGAGCCTTGAATTCAAATCCAAAACTCTTTACCACTATGGGAGCTCTCTTTCTGGCTGGCTTCTTTAGCCAACTCTCCCCTATGTACCACCACTCTCCAATACACCCTCACCCACCAGTGGTGTCCTGATAAATGCTTCACACCTGCCCTCTGGTAGGGGAAATGCCTTGCTTTGTAGCATTTGCCCATTTTCTGCCATAGGTGATTTCAAGCTACAAGACATCAATGAATGCAGAGTCCAGAATGGATGGATGATTGCATGTTGATTGTCAAGGTTAGAATCAGCCCTTGGGGGCCAGTGCCAGCTGGCTCCAGCACACCACTGTCACCACCTCAGCCTTAGGCTTCCTCCTCCCATTCAGGTCTTCCAAACCTGGCTGCACAAGCTCCTCCTCTGGCTGGCCTTTCCTCTATCATCTGTTCCCTATCTTCTTTCCTTCCTCCCCACAGTTCTGCCCTTGTTCAGCCCTTGCCTCGTATCCCAGGTGTAGGTGCCTCTCCTGGGAGAAAGAGAAAGCTGCCTGCCCTGCAGACCAGCAATATTTTCGGGAAGCTGCACAAAACCAGAAAGCAATCAGGAGGAAATATTGAGAGGGAAGGGTCTGTACGGAGCTGAAAGAGAGGGACCAAGGGAGGTTGGAACCAGTCCTGGAGTGGAGGAGGTACCAGAGCCCATCCCCAGAGACTGCCATTGAATAAGGGGAGAGACTGATCTCTCTGGCCATCCACACACTCCATCTCACAGCCCTTTGCGGCCACTAGCCTGACATCATCATCATCATCATCAACATCACTACCACCAATCATTGAGCCTTACTAGGCACCATGCCAGCACTCACAGACCCTATTGTGCTGATTTTGCCAACTACCATTCAAGGTAGATACAGTTCACCTCCCCAACACCCCACTTTCTGATTTACTAATGTTATAACTGAAGCCCAGTCATACATAGTGATGCATAGTGGTTTGCTGTGATGCTTAATTTTACGTGTCAGCTTGACTGGGACACAGGGTGCCTAGACAGTTGGTTAAGTATGATTCTGGGCGTGTCTATGGGGTGTTCTGATGAGCCTAACATTGGAACTGGCAGACTGAGTGAAGCCAATTTCCCTTCCCGGTGTGGAGGGGCTTCATCCGATCAGTTGAAGGCCTAGTAGAACCAAAAGGTTGACCCTTCAGTGAGTAAGGGGAATTCCTGCCTGACTGTCTTAGAACTGGGACATCAGTCTTTTCCTGCTTTCAGTCTCCAACTGCCTTCAGAGAGCTGCTTCTCCTGCATCTCAAGACTGAAATGACACCATCAGCTTTCCTGACTTCAGATCTTAGGACTTGTCAGCTAGTTACTTATAATAAATCCCTCTCGGCCGGGCGCGGTGGCTCACGCCTGTAATCCCGACACTTTGGGAGGCCGAGGTAGGCGGATCACCCGAGGTCGGGAGTTTGAGACCAGCCTGACCAACATGGAGAAACCCCGTTTCTACTAAAAATACAAAATTAGCCAGGTGTGGTGGCACATGTCTGTAATCCCAGCTGCTCAGGAGGCTGAGGCAGGAGAATCACTTGAACCCCGGAGGCAGTGGTTGCGGTGAGCCGAAATCTCACCATTGCACTTCAGCCTGGGCAACAAGAGTGAAACTCTGTCTCAATAAATAAATAAATAAATCCCTCTCTTTCTCCCGCCACATATATATAGGGGAGAAACTCTCACTATATATAGTATGTGTTTGTGTCTATGTCCTACTGCTTCTGTTTCTCTGGAAAACCCTGACTAGTACATGCCCAAGGCCATGCAGCTGCTCTTTCCTCCTTCCACCAGTCTTTTCACTCATTTATGTACCTACTCCGGCACTCACCCTTTCCATGGAGCCTTGCCTGCTGGACTGGGGAACATAAGGGAGGCTGAGTCTTCTCACCTCTTTATCTCACATGCTGACCCACACTTGCCTCTTCTTACCTCCCTGAATTCTTACAGGGAAATTCTCATTGCAACCCTGGGTCTCAGCCCCTCTGAGTAGTCCCATCATGGAGGGGAGGGAGTAGTTAAAAAACTGGGACTGTGTGGGATGAATTCTGTCATTCTATGCCCCTACCTCTGATGATCAAGACGTAATTGTCTGTTCATTCATTCATGCCACACATGTGGAACTGTCCACATGCCAGGCCCTTGTAATACCTTGTGATGCCAAGGGAGACAAGTCATAGTTCTAGCCCTCTGGGAGCTCAGAGTCTTCAGATGAGGTGGACCAGGAGATACCTGTGGGTAAGAAAACCCAACAAGTGGTATGAAAGAAATGGCAGCAGGTTTTGTGGGGACCCAAGAGGGCCAGGATGGAGAGATGCTGGTTGCCTGGAATAGAAAGTGACACATTCAGGCCGGGCACGGTGACTCACACCTGTAATCCCAGCACTTTGGGAGGCTGAGGCGTTGGATCACCTGAGGTCAGGAGTTCGAGACCAGCCTGGCCAACATGGTGAAACCCCATCTCTACTAAAAATACAAAAAGTAGGTGGGTCTGCTGGCACATGCCTGTAATCCCAGCTACTCAGGA